ATATATATATATATATATATATATATATATATATATATATATATATATATATATATATATATACCAGCTGCCAAACTTCTTGGACGTTACCATTTCCAGGAAAAGTAAATTCCTGGTAAATTACGCCCCTGCATGTCATACATCAACTTCAATTGTACCTTGCCCCAGAACACTCTCTGTATGATCGCTTGGATGGGAGAAGCCCTAATTCATCCTACTTTAAGCTCCCGTTCGCTCCTCTGGTCAAATCTAAAAAGAATGTGACTTTCAAGAGTTTGATTTGTCAAAATTCAGAGTCGGCTGGTGCAGCCTAAGTCAACTACAGATAACATTGCTCATGACTGATCACGACTAACTACCCATCATGGACATCATAGTCTGGAGGAGGTCGAGAGGCCATGGTTGGCTATGTACATGTCTGACAGGGGCTTTAGATATTCAGAGTGTGAGTGTGTGTGTGTCTATCATGGGGCGGGGTGCAGGCTGTCGAAAGACGTGTAGCATGTGTGAGCCTTTGATTCTAAAAAGTTGGATGTACTATTTTGCATTCCTCATTTGCTTGCTGTGCTACTTTGTTAGCTGCATCAGAGCTGTATCACATATATTTTGGGGTCACAGTGTAAAACAGTTAACTAGTAAATTGCCTAACCAACGTTTCAACAATCAACGTTTCTGCAGTACCATAGAAGGCATCTAGACGGTCCATAATCTAATTATTTTGCCGAGACCTACCAACATACCAACTTATGCTCCTCACGGACACACACACACACACATAAACGTAAACACAGCGCCAAAAGCATGACTTTATTGGCAATGTAGCACCTGACCAGTCTTAGAATATGAACTACCAGTACAAAATGATTTACATCGTCACGTACTAAAAATAGACCGACCGGTATTGTGAATCGGATGACTGTGCGATAATTTGAGGGTTATTATGTCTGGCAGGTTTGGACACGACCTGGCACGAGGTCGTGCTCGTCCGGCCGATAATCACCTAACCGTGAGTCATTCTTACAGAATTAGGGAACTGTCTCATCGCTGTGACGTCTGGAACAAACAGTGACGTCACGCAAGCCTCGGAACACAGACGCGGCTTTTTACAAGACACAAGTTGGCCGGAGAAATTAATTCGTACTCTCCAAGCAGAGGTTGATGGTGGAAGATCGTTTGCTTTTTATATATGGCCCTTTTTTTGTCGCTACCACCACCACCTTGGGTGGGGAAATGGTTACAGACTGGTCAATTCTTACCCCCACCGATAGATCTGGTTGGAGATTATTAATTCGCACGATCTATCAATTTTTTTATATTCATGTTCGCTAGGCCTGATGTTCACCACACTCGCGTGGTGTAATAATATGGGGGGTACGGTGCGTGTGATATAGGGCAGCCCTGATGCCAGACCCATCGCACGCCAGGAGATACCATTTGGGGACATTTCTTCCCGCCCAGCGTCGTCATGGTCTAACTCAAGGTCTTGTGGTATAATTTCCTAATGGGCATGTTGGCCCTGGGCAGAGAAGTTGACGTGAGTAGTTCCTGGAAGCAGTCTGGCACCCATGTTACATGTAGGGTGAACTCATGCAGAGATCGTCAGACGACTGATTCACAGTGACAGATATTCTATATGACATCCATTATAACGCTCCGTATATGATACCCATTCAGAAAAACAATTTGAGCTACAATGGTGATCTTTGAAAACTTCTTGAATATGTTAGAAGCGCCGTGTTGCGTCGTCAATTAAATCTGCAGTAAAATCTAATAAACACCGTCTTAAAAAGGTTACAAAATCGAACTAGAATATGTCGGCAATATTTCACACATGACAATCATTTCCATCAGTCATATAAAAACACGCAAAGAATTGTTATAGTGTTTGAAAGTCCTATTCTTATTAGTCTTTTTTCTTGCTTCTTACCGCCCGACGACTTTCTATCACCGACAGTGCTATAAGGAACTGTGCGGTGAAGTACGTGGTCATGTTGGAGACCCGGGGGTAGGGAAGGGGGGTACGGAACTTGTCAACAGCCAGGATCACATCAGAAACGGCAAACAGAACGGCGCCTGTGCACGCACACAGACGAGGTAACGTCGTCGCCTGTCGTAACCGTGCAACGGCTGACAGCGTCATGGAGGAGATCAGGACCACGTAGATCGCGACTACCGGCGCGTGGACGCCCTTTAACCCCGGGAGGAGGTACCCATACGACACACAGGCTATCACCATGGCAACGCACGCCAGGGGGTCGATCGTCAGGTGTCTCAGGCCAAACGCGAAGGAGTAGAGAAGATGGGTGATGGAGAACGCAATGACACCTGAAGGATGGATACAAGAGAGATATTTAATTTTCATATATTTCTATTCTTAATAATGTACAATAATGTCATAACTTAGATTTGATTAAAGTTCATGTATCCTTAGGATCGACCTTTCTTATGATTATCGAATGTTATACGTTATAACATTACTCATTGGTGAATGAATGAAACAAATTGCACTACAACTTTGATGACAAGTATTTTTGCTTCCCTGATTTCACAAGGACCAGAATGTGTGTATAGGGCATCCTGTGTTCGTTATTAGTTTTCATTTTGTCGTAGTTTGCCTTACCATACATGAACCATTCCGGTGTGTGGTGCCAGTACATACAGTAGTCACCGACAGCCGAGGAGAACAAGCCGGCCGCTAGGAGGCGCGCGTAAGTGGGACCACATTTCTGCTCCACCTTCAAAAGACAAACGAGAGACATGAACTCAACAACAATATGTCCACCTCTGTGCTATTGACATTTTCGTAAGCAGGAACTTAAATTCTGTCTTGTAGAGACAATAACGGAAAGAAGATGTCTCTGAACTCTCAAGTGGACAAATGGAATAAATCAAGTACATTTGTGTGTCTAATGATGGCATTGGCCAGAGTGACAGATTGAAGGATGATTAAACACGCGTGTATATAGTTAAGATTAACCTGGCGTACTAGTGTGTACATTGCCTAATGAGCCAAAACCCCTCGTCTAAAAGACGAAGGAATCATAGGTCTGAAACAAACCAAGACAGTGGCTTTATGTTCGTGATGAAAATACCCACTACAGGTACCATACATCCATAAATTATACGCCGTCTATCCCGGCTTCAGTGCTAAAATTGGGGGAACTCTGTTGTATTGACTGTTTTAAACACATTCATTTACCTAGTTAACTAGCTGTGGACACGCATGGGGACCACTGGGACACGCCACTATATTCCCTCAGGAACATACTAATCTTTCAAGGTACACAATGCGTGTTCAACGTCTTTGTGAAAAGTCTACCGACACTAACGTGCTCCATGAATATGCTAAATTACTACTGGACGGTATTGTATGATGTTCAACTAAAACGGTTGACAGGTTTTTTTATGTTTCACGCCTTTATCATACGATCTACATCTAAGGGCCGTTACAGATAGAGCGCGTCGCATTGATGTGGGCGCCCGCGCGCGCACGATAACAGTCGGACATTGCTGAGGCAAGCCAGTTAGGTTGAGGTACATCATAATGGTTAAACTATAACCCACATCAGTATCCAGAATGTGTGGGGCACAGAAGCAGAAGTCAAGCGTGAAAATAAACATACCACAGAGAAATCTGTCTGCAGTTATTTGGTATCACGGAAGACTCACCTGTACAAAGACGGACAGAGCGGCAACCGGAAGACATTTGACGAAACCTTTGACCGAATCAAGAGGCAACTCAGGAACACCAAACAGTAAGTACAAGACTAGTGCAGCAAAGAATAGTAACAGGGTCTTCATTCTGAACCAGGTACCGCTAGACGGTTTTTATCTGATCTGAATGTCCGCAGAAACTGATCAGATCTCAAACCAGCCTCTTGGAACCTCTGACCTCACCTGTTTGTAGAAAGGTTAAAGGTTGTACGAATGAACCATTATGTCACAAGGGGTGTTAGTAGGGAATGTCGTAGGTGTGGGGTTTGTTTATTTTTACCAGAAAGGACCGCTGGATGACCATATGGAAGAATATATGTATATGCTGCCAACCCCTGCAAAGCTAGAGACACATTCCTGCTAAAACATATCTGCTTGGTTCAGGTGATGAAAATGGGATCAGACCCTTCCGATAGTTCGTCATCTCTGTCAACGAGGAAAATCAGGAGCTTTCAGATATACTGTCTTGATGGTTCTGGTTGGTCACTGGGCCTTGTGTGTTATCCAGTAAAGACCCCCTCAGTTGGGGTAAAGCACCCAGAAGATCTAGAAGGATTGAGACAAAGATTGATACTAAAATAAGATTTTGATCATAGAGAAAAAATTCTGCCAAGCCTAAGAAATTTACTTAAGAATATTAATCACGAAAAACGAGAGATAGGCAAGAAACTTAACTTGGGACTTGGAAATAACTAAGGCCAAAAGCAATGGCTGAGCAGTGTAACGTAATAATACTTCTTGTCAACAGTCCGAACTTCCAAAGTGATTTAAGTGTTAGGTTTACTAAATGCTACTCCTCCTATACTTTCCTCCACAGTGTGTCCTCAGGTGTTTGTTCCACACACAATGTGCCTGTATGAAGTCCAAAGGACAGGGCAAAGAGCTGTCAGAACCATATTCTGTAGGGCCTGGCATGGATGAATACACCTGTCAGGGATTCGAGCTTTCGCAGTCACGGGTCTACAAACCGAGGGCAGACAGAAACAAAAGCTGGTGTCACGAAAGCAACTACGCCCAATCATTCCCTCAGGCATTTCCCGCCGAACCTGCGTGAGCTCACGTGCATCAGCAAACGACAAGCAAAAGCTCAGTTTTGGAAAAGGGGAGCATATTCCACGCATTAACTACACAAACAGGTAGGATCTTTCACTTTACAACATATGGAATCACAGACTAGTAGACGACTGAGGGGTAGCTCAGTTCTAAAAAGAGGGTGTTGAGTTTCTGGCACACCTGTAGTCGTACCTGTTCAAAAAGGGCATGGTCGCCATTATGATGTGGTGTATGCTGGTGTGTTACGCCGAAAGGCGGTTGTACCGGCTATACCGTGAGATACAGATCGATGATCGTTCACATCTCCATTGCCAGGTGCACTGTCATTCGGGGCAGAGACCTAAGATGTTCTAATTTTCCCCCCAACAGGACAGCATGGCACAGTTGATGGCAGCATTGAGGAGCCAGTTTGTAAGACAGACGACGACAAGAGGATGGGCGATGTCGGGACATGGTAGACGTCTGCACTGTGTGACCGGAAACCGCATCATGTTAACCGGGGAGAGTAACGAACTACAACGTTCGGTCGTCAGGCGGACGGCCGAGAATTACCGCGGAGGGCGGTCGTTTTGCACCGAGGCCAGCACCGAGGCGGTCCCACCTACCGGTGCCCAACAGGTGAGGGCTCTGTCTATTATATGTTCCGGCATGTTGTTTGTTGCAACTGAAGCCCAGTTCCGTTGTGTCGTGCATTGTATTAGACGCATACGAGTTAAGCATAGCTGAATGCGACGTTCCTTTTCGTTACTTATAAACGTAGCAACAATAACAGAAACAAAGTCAATACATATTCCTGTAACTTACATGTCGTTGATCAGAAACTATAAGTGATCTCACAGAATTTTGTAGGTTCTAGATTTCTCATGATATTCAATGGTACACATGATCTATTTTTTCTTAGTTTCGTGCAATATAAACTACTTGAGTGTAACGTATACGCGTGTAGGGGGTAGGACTTGTATCCTCCCAACAGCAACACATCTGGTGTGAACTAAGATCAGTAAAGGCCAGGGATACACGTGTCCCTGTTTTGCCCAAGTCGTGGCCGACTGTGGACATCATTCTAGCAGACGTCAGTATATAACATTGGTGGCAGCGGTGGGATATTTTGATGCAAAGAACGTCAACGGAAAAAGCTCTCTATCCAGTATGTGGTCTTTTTAATGTGTGGTCTTAGAGATGTTCTCTGTAACTTTGCACTGACTTAATTATATGGGTTCACCACACCACGAAGTGGGTGTGGTGAAACCATATTGCTTTTTCTGGTGTTTCTTCTTCTCCTCCTCCTCCTCCTCCTCCTTCTTCTCCTGCCATTTTTTAAATGGATTCAGCTTCTTCATTTTAGGGCCTAAGGTCCTGAAATTTGGTATGGAGGTACAGTGGGCAAATACCCTTAGGCGTTTTTTAAATTTTTGTGATACAGGCTTTTAGAATGGTTTTATTTGAGTTTTTTGGCTGTGTTATAGCAAATGTATTACTGTGTTAGTGTGTCATGTTTACCACGTTTGGGTATGAGTCATCACAATGGAATGCAGGGCATCAACCAATAGGCATGCAGCTTTCCTCTATTCTTCTTGCTGGTTGGCTGTTGGGATTTAACTTGATTAACACCTGCACAGAGCATTTCCATACTGACAGTATGTCTGTATTCAAGTGTTTTGGTAGGTATTTCAAGCTTTCCTGCTCCAGCATTGGAATGCGGGGCATGAACGTTATTTTTATTTTGAAAATCAACAGTTTGCATTATGCAATTAAAAATCCTAACCAATAAAGTAGGGAATAGCTATCCAACTGTTGTTTTAGTCGTATGTTACTTCATATTATAGTTATATCAATGTAAATCATTGTTTTCCCTTGTGTTTCTCATTCTTTCCCTGCCATGTCGTAAAATGTGGTGAACCCATTGCTGTATTTGCTCCAAAGCAAATATTGGCCTTTCTAGTATATACACTGAATTCTTGTCACAGGCACGACGCCGTTATTGGGACGTGTTGTTTGCGGTGGGAGCTCTGTCCGGGTTGTGGGCCTGGTGATCGACTGGAGAGTGAGGAGGGCGGAGACAAGAAGGAACCAACTGGCACACGTGAATGATCAGCTGGCCAAACTATACGGCCCCCTGTATGGTAACAGGCTAGCCATGCGCAGGACATACGACAAAGTCCTTTCCAAGAACATTAAAACGCAAAAGAAATATGATGACCTCAAAACATACTTGGAGGATGCCAGGCTAGAATGGCAGAAGAGAGGCTGGTATGAAAGATGGAGGGGTGACCCCAGTGCCGTTAATCGAGGACGAAGCCTGTTGACAAGATGGCGCAGGTTCTTGCTGTATGTCATCCACCCACTGGACCTGCAGGCAGAAGAGATCGTGCGTGCCAACGCGCACCTCATCGACGACAGCGAGAAGAACGCAGAGCTCTTTCGAGAGTTTGTGTTCCATGTGAAGTACCAGACATTTATTGTGGCCAAGTGGGAAGACAGGCTTTGGGTTGTCAGTTCCCGACGGAACTACGGCGACGGAGCCTTCGACCTGTGGAGCAACTCAGGCATCTTGGAGGAGGACACCGCTAAGTTCAAAAAGATGCTCGACGATCTGGAAAACCACGTGAATGAAACTTACAAGAAACTCGTGAAACGGCAGAAACAGCTGATGGAAGGGTTGGAAATAGTAGGAAAAAATTAAGAGTTAGAAGAGGAAAAGAAGGACGAAGGAACAGAGTCGCAAGAGAAAACTAACAATGTTAACAGAAAAAGCAACTAAATAAAGAACTTTAACCAAATGAAGGTAGAGAGTGGAGGTCTTAAAATACAACTTATGAAATCTTTCCATCAATCCGTTTTATTTTTGTCCTATCGTAATTAGTGGATATTAATGGGCTGCTGCCAAAATGATAATACATCTAGGGTCTGCACCAAAGATCAAAAGTAAGGCTGCCAGTTGTTTTTAACTTGAGTGCCTAATCTGCAACGAAGTGGCAAGATAGATAAAACTGATGTTAGCTGATAAGTAATTATAACAGAGCAGGTCCTCTTCATGTCTTTGTTAAGATTTGTGGACAGAGGGACCCGTTTCATGCTACACTGTAACAAATGTAAAAAGAAATCTGTTCATTGACCAACAGTTCTTTCAATAAATAGGTACACCAGAACATCGATCATTTCCTTGTGCTTTTTCAAATCTATCTTTAATACACAAAGTCAGTATAAATAGTGTTCCCTTCGTCCCATAATGTAATTTCAAACTCCTGTTAAATTAAGTACTGATTGGCGTCTGTGTGGTGTAGTGGATAGAGCGTCCGACTGTCAAGCAAGAAGACCCAGGTTCAATCCCCAGGGTTGGACCCAGACATGTCTGGACATGCACCCAGACGTTGTGTCTTTGGGAAAGGCACTTAACACGCATCTCCCTCCCTCAGTTAGAGGGTTTCTTGGGCCCTACGAGGGTTTGGGTTGGCGTTAGGAAGAGCATCCAGCCGTACAAATCTTGCTTCAAAAAAGACTTGTACATGCATGGTGCAAGCACGTCTAACCCCCGGTTGGGGAAAAATGACGTTAAATTCGGTTTAAAAAAATTGGTACTCCTGTTACAAAGGTTCCTTGTTTCCAGTGTGTCCTTGACTCTTCTAAAATTAGTAGTACACCTGTATGTGTTCATTGTGTTGTGAGAACCACGGGTCAAAAGAGCTGGCAGCAGGATTACATCAGTCGGTGTCAAGTTAGAGTTTTGCGCACGGCCTTTGACGGGCCGGGTCTTTGAACAAAAGGACTGACATAAACGAAAGGTGAGATCGCGAGTGAACACCGATACCAAGCCCCAAGCCTTCTCGAAAGCGGGAGTGCCTTCCACGCAGTACTTGCCCAATCATTCGATGAGTTCTTTTACTTTACAATACTGGTAATTACAGTCTTGTCGTTGCCTGAGGAGTATAGTAAGAGAAGTCGGATGTTGAGTTTCTGCCATACCTGTAGTTGTACCTGTAACAGTACCTGCTTGTAAAGTCAATAGACGAGATCGCCATTTTGTTCGGGTTTAGTCAGGTCAGGTACATGTCCATGACGTACACTTGTTTTTTCTCCAGCCGAACAGAGTAAGCATGGCACATTTGATGGCAGCATTGAGAGGCCAGGTTAGGCAGACGGCCCCACGAGGATGGGCGGTGTTTGCACCCAGCAGTCACCAGTCTGCGACCAGCCGTTCCATGTTCACTTCACACAGTAAATTCCTCCAATGCTCGCAACCGATCGTCAGACGCACAGCTGGAAATTGCCTCCAAGGACACTTGAGACAGTTTTGCAACAAGCCACCGACAGCGAACAGCACACAGGTACATTACTATCCATGAACTCTAGCCTCCTCCACCGAAACATCTAGATCTTGTTCGAAAATGAAAGAAAAACATTAATGTGACCAAGGAGCTTGTTTGTAGCTCATTGATATGACGAATATCTTCCTGCTAACGGATCACTAATCATCTGACTGCAACATCTACAAAATTACAGTAGTGGCGTTGAACACATTTATCACCACTTCAGTGTGATTTCTGGTGATTTCAGTGTATTCCTGAAGTTGGTATGAATAAAATGGCCTGTAGGTTTGGTATTACTTACCTTTCGCTTGTGAAGAATGTTGTCAAACGTTGTAATGTCCGGTAAATGGTGTTATATAACTTGACCAAGTACATTATACAGACATAATGTCCTTGATATTTGACAGATAGATAGAAATTTCATCAACTTGCGAAAATGGTTGCTCGTAATGTTGTTCTCAGGTGTAATTTCATAACTGGTATCTTGTGTATTTTTTACCTATGGATGCTGATGCAAATGCCATTGGACCGTGGATCGGGGTAGATGAGTTCATTTTAGATCATAGCACGACATGAATCTCTACAAATCAGTAAGTAAACTTTTCATTGGCAAAAAATAAAGATAATATTCTTTTGTCTTACTAGGTGCAGAAGCCAATATGGCGGAGGACCTTCAGTCTACCGAGTCCATCCTGCCTGTTTAACCTGTTTGGTTATGGTGGTATTATTGGCTGTATTGCGCTGGTCCTGACAGCAGTGGGCATGTATTTCGAAATCCAGCGGAACAAGCTAGCACATGTGAATGACCAGCTCTCCAAATTGTACGGTCCTCTGTACGGAAACAGGCAGGCAACGCGCAGGATTTACACCAAAGTTCTTTCCGATTTCTACAAGGAGGGAAAGGACTACGGCACCTTGGAAGAATACCTGGAGGTTACCAGGGAGAAGTGGCTAGATTCTGACGAAGAAATCAAAGAACGAGGAAGGAAAATGTTAACAAGATGGCGCAGGTTCTTGTTAACCGTCATACACCCCCTGGATAAGGAGGCAGAAAAAATCATTCGCGCAAACGCGCATCTCATCGAAGACAGCGAAAACAACGCCGAGATTTTCTGCAAGTTCATCTTCCACGTCAATTACGAGAAATTCATCGTCGCCAAATGGGTGGACAGAGATTTCGTGGTTGCGTTCCAGGAGATGTACAGGGATAAAGATTTCGACTCCTGGAACAATACGGGCACGTTGGACAAAGACACCGCCGACTCCAACCCGATGCTGTTGGAGCTGGAAAAACACGTGGATGAAACTTACAAGATACTCGTGATACGCCAGAAGAAGTTGACAGAAAACTGGTACAACCGCTAAACGGTAGCGGGCACTGATGTGCTGCCAAGGAGAAAAACTCTAACCTTTGTGCTGGGACGTTGTCACTAGTATTGTAGCTATGTTCGGAGTAAGTTCTTGCAATGTTCCCACTACTATTAGTGTGTTCAAAGATTTGAGACTTTTGAGTTTCATGATTTTTCTTACATATGTGTGGGATGAATTTAAATGCTGCAATCTTGTGTGTATCGTGCTTACTATGATAAGGAAACACCATTTGAGACAAGTTAGTTTATTCACCATTAACATTTATTGCTCTTCGCTGTTTTTCAAACATATCTTGTATTACAAGAACCACCAAAGAGAAATATTATTCAAAAGCAGCAAAAGAAACACAACTATGTTAACAAAATGTCAAAAGAAAATATTCTGAAAGAAATTAACTGAAAAAACAACATTTCTGAAACTATTTGTACACTTAGTTGCTCATAGTTACACTCTGTATGCAGTGATTATGTTCATTTCAGTAAATAAAAGTTGATATAAATACACACTGTAATAGTGATGCTCCATTTCATACAATCTACATGTATTTTGCATAATGTTGCTATGAAAACAAAGTTTATTATGTCTGGTGAGAGGACACACAGTAAAATATACACAATGGAAGACCAATATCAATTAATACCTGGATCATCCATTCAGAACATACAAAATTACCACCAAAGTACACAAGGCATTTAATATGTAACTTTCAACCCCATGAAGAATAAAAAGACAGACTAGCTAAGAACTACAGCCACTATTCTAACCCTACATCTTTTTTGTATACAAGAGTACATTATTTCCAAATATACACATCTCTTTATTATTTTTGTCCTTTTTGTGAAAGTTTTTGGAACCTGGCACTTTCAGTATGTACCTTAACTTACGGTTTCTTAATGTCTCAATGTTGTCGTATTCAGTACATACATCTGGAAATGCTTTTGAACAACTTTCTCCATTGAATATATCCAGTACACCCATTTATAATAATACAGTATGATAAGAGTATGGAGAAAAAAACTGGTAAAAAGCATACAAGCTACATGACTTAAACATTTAATGACTAACAAATCTTGCAAGAGACAGCTAGCTAGGGAGATGGTGTTGGGTTCCACAGCTACATGTAATTTGAATCAGACAATGAAACATGGTTGTGAAACAGTATTCCCTGGTTGCTGGAGACAGTAACTAACTTTTGAACAACCCATATAAAATAGACCCTTAGTACTGTTTACTGTCTAAGGCCAGACTAACTCTATGAGGATTAAAATATGTGATCAGGCATAAAACAGAAGTTGTGATACCTGTGTGTATGTTAGGTGCAGTTGTGTAACTGCCACTACACAACTGCAACAATGTCAAACTACATTATACATCTAGGAGATGCACATAAGCTAAAAAGTTAGAACTGTCGGTTGTTTCTAGCTTGAGCATCTAGTCTGTGATGATGTATCAAAATACAGTATAAAACTGATGAGGCCCCAGTAATAATGTACGGCAGTTTGCGCACCACCTGATTGAAGGCTTTTACTTCATCAGACATAACGCATCAACAGTATCCTAATGTTACAAGTATTTTGCCATGGTAATTAATTCTGAAGAAATAGATAACAGTGTTGGAGTGTCCTGGAACTCTTGCTGCCATGATAAATGGTTTCCATAACCAAGGCTGTCATATCACTTGGCACCTTTCAGAGCTTCTACCAACCTGTGGAGAGAAAGACATAATCATGAGCGCCCCTAGCAGTAAGCATGAAAATTGCAGCTGCAACTATAGAAAAGGATGATCAAATTTATCTACTAGTATTCCAACTCAAAAATTTACTTGTACAAGTTTACTATCTTATGATGATGTGAGATGCTACTTATTTCTCTGAGGGAGTTTTCTAATGATTTCAAAGTACACATACATCATATGAGTTAACAAACATACAATCAGTTCCAGAATTCCTTTGTAAAATGAAAGTTTCTCCATATTAAAACCACACTAAGACTAGAAGTTGTGCTTCACACTCAAGTTTATCAATGCCCTCACCATTCCATAGCCTCCTCCAGCCCTTCCCCCTTGATTGCTGATGTCTTGAAGATCTGCCATTTTCTGTCCTTGATGGCTGCCAGGCCCAACTGGTTCGCCACCTCTGTAGGTGTCAATGCTCCCTCCATGTCCTGTTTGTTGGCAAAGACCAGTAGGATGGCCTTCTTTAACTCCTCCTCCTGTAAGAATTATACACAGACATCAGAACATCAGCATAATACATGTACATGCTGACATCGGAAATACTATAAATGCATTAACCTTTGCAGTGGTTTTAATTTGCAATAGGATGGAAAAGGAGGTTTTTGCAGTTTGAAAATCCTGGTTGAAACAATTTTATTGCACAAATGCATGTAACGTTACCACATCCTGTCAGACCACACTCACCTCCAACATGGCTACCAGCTCAGACTTGGAGATGCCCATCCTGTCCTTGTCACAGGAGTCTACCACGTAGATGATGGCATCAGTGTTGGAATAGTAACATCGCCAGTACGGTCTGGGAGGTAAAACAAGAATAGGGATGCATCAGTTTGTGTTGTGATGCTCTGTTGAAATCTATTTTGGGGACAATTCTGAGACTATATGAAAAATGTTCATTTTAGGCCTGCACTCTCATGGGGCTAAATGATATCTTATGGGCACTGAAACATACAATGTATTTTGTATGGACATAACAGTTGTATAACTTAGTAGGGGTGGTTTGATTACATAAGATATACTACATATTACCTAATGCTTGTCTGTCCTCCCAGGTCCCAGACTTGGAATTTTAGGTTCTTGTATGTAACTGTCTCTACATTGAAGCCGATTGCTGTGACAAACAGGAAAGAATCATTTCATTCAAGTTATGCAATATTTGTACTCATTTTGAAGTAGAGGAATGGACTGCAATCATAATCGACACTGGTGCCATATACAATAATTTGAACCATAACAGTACATACATGTACCATGCATGAAACATGTATGCACAAACTGTAGCGGATATTTTCACCAAACATACCACGGCAAGCTTAAAATGAAAGGTGCAAATCATAGAAGTGCGTGTACACCAGCCTTACTTGGAATGGTAGTAACAACCTCCCCGACTTGTAATCTGTACAAGATGGTGGTTTTGCCGGCGCCGTCCAGTCCGAGGATCAGGATACGCATCTCACGCTGTCCGAACAGGCTGGAAAATAGACTGGAGAACCAACCACCTGTGGGCATGGTATATTTAGTGATCACCATTACTAAGGAAGAGACAAAGACAGTCCCATTTAGTTATCAAATCTATACACACAATTTAGGTCAATGTGAGACATTTAAACATGTCTCTCCTTTGTTACAACTATGACACGCCCTCATGGATTTTCTGGCATAGAATATAATATCACATGTACCAGTCTGTTTATTCTTATTTTAGGTGGCATGTGTGGGACTAACACAGTTGTACTATGATTTACATGTTGGTAAACGACAAAATGCCTAAGTGAATAATTTTCTGATAAGCTCGGGAAGATCTGCAGAACAAGTTGTTGGCAAAAATTATTCCGGTGTCAAGCAAACAAGTTTGTGCAGTAGGAATCATGAATCATGTAAGTTGTAACGTCACCGAAAAGCCCAACAGTGTTTTCTTTGCCAAATAAATGATTAGGAAACTTCTGGATCTCTTTGAAACCATTATAAACAGTTTAGAGAGTCTAGAAATGCAGTGTTTGGAGAAACTCTGGGAGGGCAGGAGGAAAAGCCCCCCTCCCCAACACAAAATGTTCTCTACAGAAAAAGGAACCCAAAGGGCCCCTGTACGGACTTTAACAACGAGGAATCAGTAAAAGCCATCAATAGCTTACAGTGTATGCATAGGTGAAATTGATGTAACCAAAACCCAAACCTAAGCTGTAAAACGTACCCATTTTGCTCAGTTTGTCTGCGCCGGCTTGTAAGAAAACCAACGTGTCAGGTCTGACGCTGTCTGCTGGTGACGTCACCCCAAGTAGCAAGCATCAGATTCGATGTCAAAGATACGAATGTTTTGTGATATCGGTAAAGTAGCATTTATTTATCAACTATAAACATTATAAATATTTTTAGATTTTAGAATGATTTTTGTCAATGACTTGTCAACCTTTTCTAAATTCACTTGCCCCCTTCTACTGAATTCGGTGCTATGTTTACAGCACTTTGGCTAAACATAGGGATAACGATCCTGGCAAGCAAGCAGTTTAACCAACTTTCCACAAAATAAAACAAGTCTTTCATGCACTTAAAAGAAATACGCTTATAGTTATCGTCATCAAAAATAACCTAAGATTAATTTTCATGATTAAGAAATGCAATCTTTGCAGGAATAATCCTCCAAGGGAATTCTATTGAATTATTTATACGACAGTGTATTGAAGGGGCAAATGCTAACCAGCGCCACAGCGTACAGCGCTTCGGAAAGAACACACTCGCACAGTGCCAACATGTCGTCCGGGCCAGCACAGCTTTTCGTGGGTCGTCTGTCCAAGGACTGCCGAGTCAGGGACCTGGAAGACATCTTTGAGGCGTACGGGCGTCTTCTGAGATGCGATATCAAGTATGGTACGTCCTCACCATTTTGTGAAGTGAAGACGGTCTTTTGTTACGGAGATTTGGCTGATGTAGTTCGGTGTGAAAGTGGGGGGCGTGATCCGTTTTGGAACCGAACCGTTCGAGCCACAGTTTGCTCGTCATAAAGTTCAACAGGTGGGGTAAATTGTCAGCTTTACGGCTCTATCCAACCAAACTTGTGACTGAAACTTGGGTGGTTTTTAATTTCTGCACCACTTTGCATGGTTGTCGTATCCTCCCGGCACGTCAAAATCCGTAAACATAACAGAAACATGCAAACATATGCGTGGGGCATCTTATCGTGATGATCGTCTGCTGCGCTGGGTGTAGAAATTAGAGACCCGTGTACTAGTTTTTGTCCAATTATACATCACAGTTGATTGCTTGCACCTGTTGTTCACACAGAAAATAATTGTAATGGTTTTGTTTCTGTTTTTATAATATTTTCAATTTTGTTGTACTGTATATGTCGCCTACATATCCTAACATATCCCCCACCGTGTCACGACTCCCGAGTACCCTACGGGAAATTTTCCACGGGGTTAAAAGAAGATTTACTTGTATTATTACTCGGCCTTATGTAATTCCAGAATGCCAAGGTCTGTTACTAGTAAAGTGTTATGTGATAATTTGGCAGTCCACCAATCCAAGTTTTCCCTTTCCTGTGTTGTTCTATAGCCTACCTCATAAATATACACAGTCTTGTATATTTTGAAGTGGCATGGTAACAAACACTCCAGTCTGAGGAGATTTAGTGTCTCTTGGTTTACATGTTGATTTATTTTTGGGTCAGGAAGTATGGTAGGATTCTGTTGTAGGAGTGAAAGCGTGGTGTGCAAACATTCCCCAGTGACAGGGGAGGGATCACTAATGAAGATGGGGGATGGGTTCTAAGGGGGTCGACCAGTATATAGTGTGATACAGTCATCAATCCATTCATCCAAATGTGTATTGATTTAATATTTCTTGGTGGACTGAGAAACATTGCCGAATGTTCATCATATGTTGAGTCTCTTTTGTAAAAGAAAAAAGGTTAATTTTATCAGATGCACAGTGGATATAATTGGAACAGGTATTGAAGGTGCTTTTAGGTACATGGCATTTATGATGCAACGTTAGAACACAGCTCATTGTCATGACAAATTTTGGGATGAGCAAGGACAGAATGACTGGTGTAATGAAATTCTTATGATTTTATGTTCCAGTGGGTCTGGAGCTAATTTGTCTGTACCATGTTTTATTCAGAGTAACCCAAGAGGCAGGTATGAGAGAAATGTAATTGGCCTGTTTGCAATAAGTTCAATGGATCTTGTCTAGACAAAGAATTAAACGTAAAAGTTTCCAACTGTCAGTCTTTGACTCCTGTACAGCATACATGTATATTTAAAGCTCCTGTTCTCTTTGGACTGCATTTAGCTTATTCCAAGAGCTCAAGTGCTTATAATTTTTTCAGATTGAAGAAAAAAAAACACAAAAACAATTTGCAGATAAACAACTCATCAATTTACGCTGTAAAGTGATCAGCAAAAGTACACTTCGAAAAATCAAAAGCAGAAAAAAATAGTGTCTCTACTCGAACCCCTTTCTGTGACTGGCAAGCTGCTACGTGTCCTGGTTTATACAGATCCGTAAATAAGTCCATCATGGGGTTGCAAAATATTTATCCAGTGCACCACACATGTCAATAGGTGTCTAAGGCCCAAGTGAGAATGTACTATTCCCAGAAAAACTGTGGCCTTGTGAGGTTGCCTGAAGTCATGGCCACACATCAAAGTCAGATTCCCTCCATGACCCCCTGGCTTTTGCTGAAGTTGAAATGTGAAGCAGCTGGTTTGTACCAGGGGTGGCCCAGTGTCTCTGGTAGTGTGTAAGATTAGGGTTGGCAGAGATTAAGCGATTTGGATTTACTGAAGACCTGTATCAAGGACATACCTAAAATGTGCAACAAAGTTTTCACACCAGTCTGGCAATGTTTCTAGACGGTCAGACTGGCCACTTTTCATCCTGCAGACAAGAAAATGAGTTTTGAGTGCTTTTAGTTCTTCAACGAGATATCATGCCAACAGAGTGACAACTTTTCACAGAGCTTTCAAATTAAGGCATCTTTTTGGAACCTGACAACAGAATTGTGTTAGCCACCACACCCATATGCTGTCTGGGTTAGGCCAGTTTCACTGGACCATGATGTAGGTTGTTTATTCATGATGGTGACCCCAATTCTTATCTAGATGTCTTCAGAACTTGAGCAATTTACATAATAGTCTTTCAAAAAAATTTGTTTTTAAAATCCTAATTGACAAGACCGTCACTGCCATAGTATGCTTTTTTATCATCACAATTTAGCCATAATTGTTTACTTTAAGCTAGCTAGTTTAAGCTTCTGACTCTGAGATCATAATTCCCAGGCCATTGGCCGCCATTCACTGAAACAGTCCCCCAAAAGTCCTGTTGGTTGGTTGGTTGGCTGGTTGGTTGGTTGGAACGACTAAAACAAACATTCTCTGGTGTTAAGGGATTGTTAATTAGTGGTAATTGATTGAGTTAGGGATTTCCCTGATGGTAATTAATCACCCATGTTGTAATTGTGATTTATAACAAGCTAAAACTCTATGTACTGTCAAGACACCACTGGTACAGCCAGAACTTCAAGTTGAGTGCATGTCATATTCTATTTGTAGTGCTGTTAAAGCATTACATATTTGGCTATCCAGTTGAATTTGTATTATCACTGTCTCTAAGTCTAAGGTTCGACAAAGGTTAAACATGGTTTTTCAAACTTGTAATCCCTCATGTCAGATTAGCACCCTTCACTTTACAGCCAACTCTAGAGGCACCCCAGGCGTTAGAGAAACATAGGATCAGGCTTCATGTATTGGGACACCACATTCCTGGGATGCACCTGCTGCATGGGTGTCAGGATGCACAGGCATCTTGCAGGATCAGCAAGGACGGCCGAGGGCTTTAAGGACAACCTCCTGTCCTAAATAGAATTTCCAAGTGTGATATGTCATGTATGCGTAATACTCTGTAGTGTTTGCCAGAAACTCTTTCACGGGAATTTCATGTTTATGCAATAGAAATATATAAAAATCCAATGGAGCTTAACAACTGAATGTGAACTATAATTATTTTTCGTACTCAATGCCACATAGTATTCCTTGGGTGGTTCAAGCTTCATGAATCTTACCTATATTCTTTGTACAAATTATTCTCGTCCACATATTCTTTTATTATTTGCAATCAAAAATTAGCTACAGACGTGGATGGCACATACTATGCATAACATGTGTACGGATTTAGATGTTATACATACTTTTCTGAAACAATATGCTCCAACTTGTTAGTTAAATTAAGCCTACCACTTCCTAATGCTTATTTTAGGACACATTTCTCAGTTACAATCGTCAAAATATAACTCAGTTTACAGTATCAACTACTATGTATACATTGGCTGACCTATGAGTACATTTAATCTTTGTAATCAACTAGGATCAATGTCATTTGGTCAATCGTTTAATGGCCTGGGATCTGCGAGGTCATATTATTATCTGGCCAGAGCCATACAGCATAGTTGTTGCCAGCTCAGGGAGCACAGTTACAAAATTGTTGCCAAGTCTGTGTATTTGTTTTGGCTGTCAGTCAGCCTGGGACCATATGCCCCCAGAGTACAGTTCACATGTTTATTCCCGATTTGTACGTCCCAATAGACTTATGTAAGACAGAGTACAAGATTACAAGAAGTTGCCATACAGCATTTGTTCCCTGGTTTTTTATTACTCCTAAACTGTTTTTCAGTTCTGAAAATGGATTATGCGATTTTTAACATATGTTCAGATGTAGATTCTATACTTTACTACGTCATTACATTTACAACACTTGATAATTGTCTTTTTCCCCTTTCTTGCACTTTACAGGCATATCAATGGGTATGTATATTTTTATCTTAATTTTTAACAATAATGTCCATTTGTTGTGCAGCTAAAATATATAAAAAGTAATTTGATAGTGATATATTTGTGACAATTTCAGCATGCAAAGAGTATCTGATTGATGTAAGTAATCACCTTTGTGATGTTCGTCATATTTTTGTTCAATTTTGACATAAAACATTTTCTGATAATCTGATTTATCAAGGACATTATCCTTGGATTGATATTAACCATAAGACCAGATATTGATTATACTGATGTTTTTTGTTACAGCTTATGCCTTTATTGACTATGAAGATAGGAGGGATGCAGAGGTAAGAAAAAGAAATATCTCCCTTTCAGGACAGTTATGAACATTTCTGGGTTTGGTGCAACAATTGATAGTTTTTTGACAGGTTCATATTGTAATTAAAAAAATACAAACTTGCGTTGGGCAAAATCATTTTTAAGATTCTGGCATGAAATCATTTTTAAGCTTCTGGCATAAACTATTCCAGACCTGTAGATTTAGAATAATCTTTTTACAACGAACTGATTTTACCTACTTTTTTCTATTAAGTCTTGCGTGTACATCATTGGATATTGCTAACTTAAATCTTAACAGCACCTTAATTTATGTTTGAAAAAAATAATTCAACATGAAAATATCTTTCTCTACGGTTGTGGCAAATATTTTTCATATGATATGATAACATATTTTTATTGATTTGGATATTTCTAGTTTTGCTGAAATTGGTTTATCATATCAAACAGTATACAGCGTTTGCTCTGACTTCAAAAGTCCTTTCAACATTATCTGAAAAGGCTGTAATTTGTCTGGAGCTATAGAATATTTTCTGGTACATTTGTGTGGGTGATATTGTATGAGTAAGCTCATGCATGTTTTCAAGGCCATGATATACTTATACATGTATGTTTTGCTATTTGTATTGGCAGTAGCCAGTTATAAATTATCTTTTCCTTCCTTCTTGGTAACATTGGGAGATAGTTTTGTTGATTGATAAGTACATATTTGTAGAATAGAGATTATTATGTTTCTGCATTAGATATGGAATAGATATTCAGTCTGCCACACCAAGCCTTGAGGCCTGCTTTTTGTTTGTAGTTGTGTCGCTGGGTGAATATGGGTGATACCAAGCAAGAGTGGGGGTGCTAACCAATTATTCTCAACAGAATCAGTGCCGTCTTCCTTTGCAATCTATAGCATAGCCTACCCACCCTACCTGCCATTGAATGGTTGGGCCCGAGCAACCGTGCCGACCGGCCGCTACCCGATTCCGCCCGTCTCACTCTGCTCGCCTACCTACCCATGATTCCTTGGTGCCCACAACAGTATGTGCACGATGCTGTCGTGATCATGTGATGGGATTTATATGTACACATCATGATCATGTGACCTGTGGACAGGGACCCAAACTGTGGCCTTAACTTCTGTACCTTAACCCTTAAGCACCAGAGACCAGAGTCCTGCTTTATCTGATCACCTACATCATAAAAAGAGATAGATAATAAATTAACCTATAAAAGACTAAGTGATTATTGTAACTTTCAAAAGATCAGCGTAACCCATACCCATAGTCAGAAACTGAAAGAAACACAGTTGAGTCCCCCGCCCCACACAAAATGAACCTGGTCATCCATATGCAGCCTGAGAGTCACAGGTCTGGAATAATTCCAGTCTAAAGTAGACATAATCAATATGATACTATAACATGTAGTAATTTCAGTCTGCATAAACTGGCATAAGATATTACACACACATTAAGGATGCATGTACTATGTACTTGCGTGCAGCTACTGAGCTAGTGCAAAATAAAACATGGTGCAATGGTAAGAATTTTATCCTTGAGTTGATGCTACATGTACATATTACATGATTGTATTATTACTCATCCCCAAGACAGTTAATTTGAATTGGTATTAAAAGCAACAGGTGTGCTGTTATTGGATAGAAGATAAAAAGAATACCTGAGAATGACTGAGATGCAATGAAATAAAGTGCAGAAGCAATTTTAATCCAAAGAATGAGATGATAAAAGTTAAATCTCTTTGTTTGACCACCTGTGTACAAAATGAAAAATGTTTTGGATGTTTGTACTGTATTAAAGATGCATACATCATGTGTGGAGAAACAAAGTTTGTCTTCTGCAGATATCACAAATCCTTGCTGTGAGTTACAGGGAGATATGGAGAAACGGTAAGGGGGACGTGATACAACATAAAGAGGTTTTTTAAAGAACACAATAACTGGTTCAGGAGTAGGTGTAATTGCAAGTAATGAAGCCATGGTGTACAGTCATATAACCCTGCTTTCACATTGAAGTAAGTAAAAACTCTGCAGCAGAACTCCAGGCTGTCACTTGTATGTAACTCTAGTTGCAGTAAAACTTAGGGTATACCAATTGAAATCATATATTAAAAGTTTGTATTGTAGAACTTGTGTGTGATCAGGCACAGTAGGAGCTTTGCCTCTGGAGTTTTGGGGTATATCCCATTGGAGTTGATTACTTCAAAACAAAGCAAAAATGATACTCAAAATGAACGTATCTGAACAAGGCTTTTACAAAAAAGTTTTTATCGCAAATTTTTTACCCTAAAGGCAGATCATTTTGTATAAGTTATACTTAGTTTAAACTTTCCTGCTTTTATCACATTATTTTATGAAGTAACAAGAATGGTGACTTACAATAATAAGATTATTTGTCTGAAATTAGAAATTCAGTTGGTATACACTGTAAGGTCTCCTATTTTATACTTCTGTATCAAATTTGAAAATATGAACAAAAATTATACAAGACCATTCTTGTAGTCAAGACTGTTGAAAAATGATACATCCCAGTTGGGTTTCTTGTCTTCTTCCATGGTCACCTACCAAAAACACACACAGATATTCCTGCCCAACTTAAGAGAGAACTGGAACTGAAGTTCTAGTGGTCAATTTGTGAGTTGCTGGAAACATGTACATGTAGGAGAAGCAATGTTGGGTCTGTTCTGTTTGAGAAGTGCCCACAAGGGTAGGGATTTTTGTTGTCAAATGGTGACAGAAATGTGACATCTAAATATGAAACAACATACGAAGTGCCTATGAAAAAAATCTGTTGATGACAATTTTTTCTTGACCAGAACATTTCCAGTGTTGCTTTTTCTAACGGGCACTTAACAACCTGTATGTATGAATTTTTTTGATAATTTTGTAGTATCAAAAATTATGTCTTTCAAGTCCTGTACTGTTATATATAGGAATATGTGTTTTTCTTGACTGTGAGGTCAGTGGGTAGAAATTCAGTAACATTGATCTCTCTGGTTTGATTGATTTGTGTACAATCACATTACTAGCTTTAGCTGCAAGAAATTTCATTTTATATAAAAATTGCCTTGAAGTTCCCAGCAGAGTGACTATCCAGCTTAATATCAAATTTAGATTTAATGTTCTTCTGTACAAGGTTGTTAACATATTATATGTCATAAAGTCTGATGACTCTAACAGTCTAAACGTCCAATCGGAATTTTAAAAAAGCACTTTTCATTTTCTGTCAGACTATAATGAAGGTACTTAATTCTGTTTCAAGAACATACTATGATCTTGCACTGCTTGAAAGCTACTTACAATGATACTACTATTACTAGTCTTTAAGTTGAATAGCTAGGTGTATCAAACTCAGATTGATCACTGTTAGTTTGGTCAGACTTGGTCCCACATGTTGGTCCATCGCCTATCTTGCACCATGTGCGATGTCTGTTTGTCTCCTGTGTATATTGTTAGGACGCCATAAAGTACGAGAATGGCAGGGAAATCCGTGGTTCCAGTATCGTGGTGGAGTGGGCACGTGGACCCAGCAGGCGATACGGGGGGGCAGGAGGAAGGGTAAGGCTTCTAAACTTGACATGTTTTGAGTTGTTAAAAGCTTTTACTGTATTTGTTAAACATAAAAACCCACTATTGAAAATGTAGACATCTACTGCATCTCTACTTTGTTAAGAAAATGCAATTTGATTGTATTATAACAATAGTGTTGCACTGTGTACCTAATGTAGTGAAGCATGTCAAATTCCATGAAAGTGGCAACAGTGTAAGTTGTATTCTTGGAGAAAAGACAGTTATTGCTTCAATATACATGTTATCAGGGACACAGTGACTTCAACTGACAATGTAACACTGTCTGAAAGTGTGATAATACTTTAATAGGGAACTTTGTGTATGAAACTGTGTTGCTGATGTTTGCTGTTCCAGTTTGAGGAAGAGTGTTTCCGATGTCACAGGCCAGGACACTGGGCACGCGACTGTCCTGACTCACGGGACTTTCGCTACGGTGGTGGCAATCGCAGGTAAGCCACTCTTCCAGCATGATTTTGCCAGCAGTTGTCATCGAAATTAATCAGCAAATTTGGTTTGTCTAAAAATCTCATGAATGCTTCTAACTCACAATGCTCCACAATTACTAAATGTTCAACAACAAATTTTATCATTTGCTCATTTGGAGGTTGGTTTTCATTATTACTGTTGTGATGTTTGGAGTACTGTCCTTTTGCCCTCTTGAAGGAAACTAAGAAAAAAAACAACTTCATTGGTTAAGCATGTGTGTATTTTAGTCAGCCCTCACATAGCCTCCTAGACCTAGCCTGTCCTTTTATTTTTTAATGGGGTGTTGTGCTGTTCCTATATCTCTCCTCACTCCTTTGGGAGCAGGTCGTACAGCTATTCCCGTTCTCGCTCACCCTCCCCTTACTACCACTCCAGAAGGTCACGCCGGTCAAGATCCAGATCACCATCCAGGAGGTCAAAGTCACCTTC